AAGTTTTTGATCCTTCTGCCTTTGGTTATCTTACTGGTAAGGCTGTGTCTTCGACACAAAAGCAGATGGTGTGGAATTAGAAAATTCCCCTTGTGTTTTATATTTTGTTCTGCTAGTGGTATTGGTGTTTGCTGTAATTTTTTTTTCGTATTTGTAAGTAAAGTAAGACTGTACAATGGATATTCAATAAGTAATGATTAAAACATGTCACACCTGAAATTTTTGTGACTACACTTCTGTTCCTTAGGGAAGAATCCTTATGTACCCAGGTATTTAACAGCTAGTACTTTAGATTACTATGTGTCATATACTGTACGTGATAAACGGGATACTGTGGTGCAGAGAAATGCGATAATTTTTTGACTGACCTCAAACATGGGAGAAAACAAGGATTCTTTCTTATATCTCTTTTTAGAATAAGAGAGAATCTATTTTTTTCCAGACCAAAGCTTTCTTGTGAAAGGACTTATGAAGTATTTAACTAACTGGAACTTTGCATGAGATGTTAAATTAACTTAATGCTTTGGCTTAAAACCATTTCTTTGACAACAGAGATGCATAATCATAATCATGTTAAAAGCCCTCAGGCTGCTGGAAGCATAATGCTGCCTGTTACTATAAGGTAAATGCAAGTTGCACTCCGAAATGGCTGCTGAGTAAATTGTACCTCTGGTTTGAAGGTACAATTTCAGGTACAGAAATCCCCTTCCATGTGATTTGATTACTTTAAATATTGAAAAACAGATTTTTTGCTATCTTGGCGTTTGTCCAGACAGTTGGGATTTTTCCCTGTGCACCTCCAGGAAAGCTGTGTCTGTGAAGCTTGTACTCCCTGATCGGTGCTTCAGCCACAAGGCTGGAAAAGTTTTCAGCGTTGTATCTGACGCTGTATATTGCTGTGTGGTTCTGCAGCTTCTTCTTTTTAATTTGCTTGTGTTAAGCCATATTGTTTCTTCTTCAAAGAATTGCTATGCTTGACAAGTGCTGTCCCATTCCATGCAGTAAAATGCAGTTATTTCATTACAATCTAAGGACAGAACTAGTGAAATTTGAAGCAAAAAGCAAATAATGACTCAGAAAGCAAGGCTTTCTGTGTGTGGCTGGTGAGTCTGTATTTGTGCAGTGTGTATGTGGGGTGGGGGTGTGAATGTATATGGAAGAAATGGAAAAGGTTCTTTTGGCTACAAAAAGCTACATTGAGCATTTTGTAGGCATTCCTGTTTATACTAGGATGAGTCTTCAGTGTTTATTACCTTGCAAGATCACTTCAGCTTCTCTCTTAACAGAAGGAAAAAAAGTAGAGAGAATGTAATTTTTGACTGGAATATTGTAGTTTGATCAATCACTGCAGTTAACATGTCCTGATCTAAATATTTACAAATTGGCAGTATTGCAGTATGTTTGAATATATCAGCTGTTTGATGTGGATGGGAACCAGTAAATGCTATTTTTACTGCACTTACATAAAGATGCAGTTGTCGTACTAATGCTTTTATGTATTAATAGACAACAAAACCGGACAGATATGAGAGCATCTTCATAGTAAATATCTGAGAATCAGATCTCTTTAAGAAGTAGACTAATGTTATAAATTTATTTTCTGAACACAGTAAGTGAATGTTAATCTATGCAGGTCTGATCTAAATTGAATTATCCTGACTGATGCCATCTGAAAATGACGCATAATTTCTTTAATTCATTTTATCCCAGTCATTCCAGTGCTTGTGCATTTTACGATTTGCCTTTAGTCTTGCTAAACAAAAACTCATAATCATGAAGAGAAATCACTGATCTCTTATGTAGTTTGATTTAAGAGTTCTAGCTTCATCATTAACCTCCAAATTTTTTGTAATTCTTAGAGAACTTGACAGTTCATGTTTCCTCTCAGGTTTAGCTGTGATAACTGCAGGAGGTAATCAGATTTTAGTCCTGTCGTAGGTAAGCCTTACTAGGCTTATGGATCTTTGTCTTCTGGGTTGTGATCTTCTCTGCTGAGGTTTTTGCATGGAAAGACCTGTGAGAGGAAGCCTTACATACGTGTTCCTGCTTTTCCTGAAAGTGGCTGATGAGCATGCAGTGGACTAAGCAAACTAGTTGTATCTGAGATAGTGGAAGAAGAAGCAGTCTTAGACATGTAAGATAAGCAGTATGCTTGGATGGCGTACTTACATTTATGCACAATGTATAGTGGAGAGTATTTGGAGGTTTCTTATTACTAAATAATAATAAGATGCTAAAAACCCATTCATTTAGCTGCACATGGGGAAATGAAATATTGGTGAAATCATGTATTTGGGATCTGCAAGAAGGGAAGGAGAAGAGAAACAAATTCACTGAATAGAAAAGCAGGAAAGGTGGGGGAAAGGTATTGCTAGTCACTGTTACTACCACAGAGGGACCTTGGCAGGCTTGAGAGGTGGGCCTGGGTGAACCTCATGAACCACAAGGCCAGATGGAGGGTGCTGCACCGGGGCCAGGACAGCGCCGAGCACAGACACAAACTGGGTGGAGAGGGACTGAGAGCAGCCCTCAGGAGAAAGACTTGTGGTTGTTTGTGGAGAAAAAGTTCAATGTAACCTGGCAATGTGTGCTACATACCAGAAAGCCATTTGTGTCCTGGGCTGCATCCAGAGCAGCGTGGGCAGCAGGGCCAGGGAGGGGATTCTGCCCCTCTGCTCTGCTCTGCTGAGACCCCACCTGCAGGGCTGCATCAGCTCTGGGGTCCCAGCACAGGAAGGACATGGAACTGATGGAGGCCACAGGAGATCTGTTAAGTCAGTCTCAGGGCTGGAACAGCTCTCCTAGGAAGACAGGCTCAGAGAGCTGGGAATGTTCAGCCTGGGTATGTATGATTGCAGTAGGACCTCAGAACCGCATTCCACTACCTAAAGAGGAAATACAAGAAAGCTGGAGAGGGATTTCTGACAAGGATGCGTAGTGATAGGACATGGTCTTAAACTGGAAAAGGGCAGGTTTAGATTAGGTATTGTGAAGAAATTCTTTACTGAGAGGGTACTAAAAGAAGAATGAGCTCATGAGCTTTATTTTTGTTCTTTTTCATAGCAAATCAAGCAGAAATGCGTGCTGCAGAAGAACATGTTAGAAAAATTATAATTGAAAGGAGTTAATGGAGACTGTTGTTGCCGGTGAAGACTTAGAGCATAAATGAACATATCTGTTCTAGTCATTGTATTCTTCAGTAAGCTGTCTTTCCTGGGAATGGAGGGAATATAGGGAATGGAGACAGTCTCCTGGATTTATTACCCAAATCTGTTTTGATGGCTGCGTTCCATTAAAGGAAAGAGAACCTAAGTTTATTCCATATGTTCAGGTAGACCTAAGATTAGACATAGAGAAAAAAAGGTTTGCTTAACAAGTATTGCACATTTATAATCATTAAGGGTAATGTAATAATTACATGCTTCTGTTGAAAGATTAAAATTTTGATATCCAGAATTCCAGTTAAAAATAGCAGAAAGTACATCAGCCTGTACATACCCACAACAAAAATGGTTGCTTTCATGTGTTTGTTTATGAAACATCTCTTAGCATCAGTCACATATGTTTCACCAATTAAGAAGCACTGAAAGTAAATAAACTGTGATGTTTCCATGCAGCTAGCTTGACAGTAATGATGTGCACAAGAGAAAAACTTAGTCTTATATTTTGTGTGTGTGATTGTGAAGAAGGTAGATCCTTCCCTTCAATACTTTGCTTTCATACAGTAGGTTTGTCTTCTCTTTTCCTCTTGTTTAGAAGGCTCTTCATTTTACTAAGTGAGAAAAATTCAAAATTCATAGTACTTCAACTGTGTTCAGCTTCTGAAGTTTCGGGATGAAAGGTTACTTTGTCTATTTACTGATTTCAGCTAAGTGAAGAAAAAAGGGTAAAATTAAAATTACAACTTGCTGCGTATTATTTGCTGTTTATTTTTTTTTGTGTTTCTCTACACTCTTTTGGACTGTTTTTCTAAATGGATTTGTGAGATGTTTTGAAAAGCTTTTCCATGTGTACATGTAGTTGCTGCTTATCTGTTACTTATCTGTGAGGGACTTCGGTCAGATTCAGACCTCATTGGATTCTGAACTATGGTGTCTTGTGAAATTTAGTTTTTGGCTTTCTTGGGAGGTCTGAATCCGAGGAATTGCCTTCCTGTGGACAGGAAGTCCATTCCTTCAGTCAGCAGTGAAAAATGCTACAACTGAGTACAAAGCCTAATATTTAACTTGTCCTTTTAACTTTTCTCATTTGACTTTTTCTCATAATTTCAACTTATGGCAATTGTCTTCTAATATGTTACAGAACAGGAGCAAACGTGTGGAAAAAGTCCATGTTGTTCTTGGGAATAAACCCTGTGATTTGGATTCACTTATTTCTACCCTGGCCTATGCCTACTTTCTGGACAAGGTAATGGAAAAATTGGACTGAGTGGTCTTAATTCACTTTTTCCAGGTTGTTACAGATGTCTTATTGTTAAGTCAATTGTAAAAATATTTTTCCTCGACAATGACTTTGTTATTATCGTAAGTTTTTAAAAGATAAATAATCAACATTTCTTTCCATACAAAGATGAATGAATGGTTATTCTGATGATTTCTTGAATAACATGAGAAAAATCAGTCCTGTGCTTCATTCCTTATCCTTTTCCTCTCCTGGTTTCCCAGGTACTTTCTAAGAGGCAAACAGTGACAGGTGAAGGGAAAAAAGTGTGAAATACCTCTTTTTTTTTTTTTTAACTAAGGGAGGAGGAGAAAACCTGAAAGAGAAAATCTAGGCTGTACCTAATTGCTTACTCTGTTAAAATACCATCCCGATGAAAGACAGGTCCAGTTCTCACAAAAGCACACCTATGTTACAGGTCAGCCCTCCTGATGTTCTCTGCTTACCTGTGTTGAACATACCAAGAAAAGACTTCAGCTACTTCACTGAGACAAGATTTATTTTGGACGAGCTGAAAATCCCAGAGTCATTCCATATCTTCCGAGATGAAATCAATTTGCATCAGCTGAATGCTGAAGGGAAATTGTCTTTAACGCTTGTAAACAGCAGCATGCTGACAAGGTACTGCGTTTTACGTACAGTAAGGTGGTTTATGTGAGTTTGAGCTGTTTCAAAAATTACGGTTTTTTCTGTATTAGTATTGATATTGCTATGTTAACACAGACCCAAAAAAAGGAACCTAAAATGTATTTTGTCTCCCTTTATGTTGAGTAACTGTAACAAGGTGAACAGTCATCTTTGCATCACTTTTAATGGAACTTCCAGTTTTAAAAACCTAGTGTTTTCACACCTCTTAGATTAGGTATTTTAATGTAGTTAAATAGTCTGGAGGTTTCCTGTGGCCAGTAGATAAGATATCAGAGTTTTTTTCCTGCTTCTTAGTTAGCTTTCCTTTGAGAATCTTATATGGATTTGCAGGTGCCCACACACTAGGATATGTGCCGTTGAGATGGCTGATGGATTTTAGTGGTCTTTACCAACTACAGCCTTTCAAAAGGCTCAGAGTAGATGTTGGGAAGATCATGGTCCGGATACCCATCCTTAAAAGGGACCATTTACAAGGCCGTTGTGAATGTTTTATGGAGAGCCTCTTTATAATGGTCTGCCTGCCTTCCCCAGAGTGAAGGATGCTGTTTACTTCCAGCTGTCCTTAGAATTTCGTTTAAGACATTCATTAAGTAGCATCCTATAGATCCATGGTACTCTGAGAAGTTTAAAGGTTAGAGTAAAAGTAGGGAAAATCTGAAGGAAAAAATATGTGTGGATGTCATAGCTGTTGGTGCATTAAGTGGCATCAGCTCAGTGCATCATTCACTCCTCAGAGCAAAAATTACCTATAGGTCTGCTTTATGTTTATTACTGTCACTACCTCTTTCTTCCTTCTGAAGAATCGCGATTAGTATTTTACTATTAAAATTAGTTTGGCTTGCCTACTACTATTTTAAACAGAAACATAATGTATCTAAATGCAAAAAAAAAAAAAAAATTTTTTTTGTATGTTTTCAGAATATTCAGTTGGGAAGATCCTAAATCTCCTTCATATAATGACGGCTGTTTTCAGCACATGTAGAAATACTTTTTTTCAATAGTTTTTAGTACATGCTGTACTTAGTGATGTATCAAACAGTTAAAGAACACTGAACACATAATTTAAGAATCACAGATTTAGGACCTCTGTGACATCCTTTGGCTTTATAGCAGATTTCAGGTAGCTATAACAATGCTGTCATAGTCCAGAATTAAAAAAAAATGTGTTGCACTTTCTTACTGACTTGTCTATGTAGCTATGAAGATAAATATATGTATAACTTCTGAATTTGCTTGATAGTGAGGATAAAAGTTTGGAATCAGCTGTTGTCAAAGTCATCAATCCAGATGAGCAATGTGACAAGACCCTGGAGTTACAAGCATGTTCTTCCTCTTTAGTCGTAAAAGAGATTCTTCAGGAGGCACCAGAGTTAATCACTCAGCAACTGGCTTATCTCCTCAGAGGTGAGAGATTACTCTTTATATTAAATACTGAAAGGTTTAATGGAGTGTTTCTGAATTTGCTCATGCAGAAAGAGTGTGATCCATTCTTTGGTTAACAATCCCTTTAAAGACCACAGGAAGCTTCATAAAAGAAGCAGGGAGTAAAGAGTTTGTTAAAGAGTAACATTATATTGAATATTAAAAATGTGCATTTAAAAATAGGCATGAGAGGTCTTTGCTGTATCACTAGACAAGAATATTAAATGAAGCTGTCTACTTACCAGCTGGGTAGCTGGAAAAGCTGTGCAGTTCGTTGATTCCAGGGGCATTGTGGACAACAATATGGATTGGAATCTAATATTTACAAGTTAAAGCTTCTCCCTCCCAATGGTTGTACTTTTTTTATGGAATGATATTTTAATGGCATGATGCAAAACTTTTGCTGTTTAAAAACAGTGTTACCAAATCTGCATTGTGTTCTCCTTTTCTTTTGTAGTGTATGCCCAGCAGAGCACAAAGTGGGGATGGGCTTCAACAATCACTATTATTTTCTTCTCTGTCTTGGAAGTTCATAATTTATATTAATTTTGTTGGTTCATTTGCTGCATAGAAATTTCCAGTTGGAAATAAAACAGGTGTTGAAAAGAACAGTCAGTGCTTTTAAGTTATTAACTGTGCTTTAATAATTTTTAACAAATTTTATGGGTTTTAAGTTCTAATGATGTGAAACTGCTAAATGTCCTTTTAAGAAATTAATGTGGGCATGTTTAAGGAGGATTATAAAAACTTGTCTACATTTAGACTTCAGAAGCAATGAGAATCTTGACAAATCATTGTACTCATCGCTATGATAACTAATAAACATGTTATAAGAAATCAAAAAGATTAATTTTTTAAAATATTCCACAGAATAAGCATTAACAGTAGCACAGCATTTAGCCTGCCCTGACAATATCTTTCCATGCTAACAAATTTTAGTTAACTTGCCATGAAGCATTTTTGTAAGCTCCGAATTTCTGTTGAGTAGCTCTCCAGGAGTCTAAGCAAATGAACAAGGATAATAATTGGTTTTGGAGGCAGAACAAAAAAAGGGTTTTTAGGGAATATCAGTATACTTGTTTGTTAGTGCAGAGTCAGAGGGAGAGGTCTGAATAATGTTCAAGAACATGTTCGAGTACTCTATGTGCCTGTGTCAGTTCTGTGCCTCTAATATGTCTCCAGATTAAAGTTAAGTGCTTTTATTAGTGTTTGCATTAGAGATAGCACTTACAGTTTTGGGAAATATAGTAGCTAATTCTAATTTTTTTTAATCAATGAGTAATTACATTTTGATTATTACATTTGGTAGAGCAAATTTGAGGAACTTAGTGGATAAAAAGTCCCTGCATACCTTTTTTTGCATGGTATGAAGTGATTGGCAAAGCCTAGGGAACAAAACACAGCTGCACTTGAGACTTGGTGCTTTTCTACTTTTCCCAGCAGCTCAGGGACTGGTACAGAGGTTGCAACTAAAAAGGTTCTATTCTGTTTTTCATATTTTGCTATGTTACTTCCAATGTAAATGTGTATATAGTTAATATGTCTAAACATCAGGTGAAGTTCAGAAGAGAAGGCCAAATTAAAAGTTAGAGTGCTAAGAATTAGGATTTTATTTTCATAAAACTGCTGCTGTCTGAGTCTCTGAGCTGGGAGGCCTTCTTTAAGCTTCTGACTTTCCAGTGAGTATTTTGCTAGGAGAATTTTCAGATAAAAGAAAATCTCATGTTTTAATAATTATCATGTGGTGACCAAGACAGCTTAATTTGTTGACTGTTTTTGAAACTTCTTTTTTCTTGAAGTCTGTTAGCAGTTTTTAAATTCCAATAAAAAGGCAGATGTTTATGTATATAAATTTCACCCTTGAGCAAACTTTACGTGCTTGTCTATTTAAAAAAAAAAAAAAAACAAGTCAAGAAAAAAGACATTTCCTGTGAAACTGAGCATTACTGATTTAGGCATTTTTATATTTCAAGATAATTTTTGTTTTTAGGTGAATGCTTTTCTGGTATCTTTTTCTCCTTATCAGACATTATACAAGCTTATTCTACCCTTGGGCTTTTGAGTAGAGCCTGCTTGGACAATCAGTGTTGTACAGCCATATTTGCCTCAAGTTAGAGTTGTGCTGTCCCTGGATTTGTGCCAGAAGCAAACAATTACAGAACCTGCCAGAGTCCTGGGCCTGTATTATTTTATTTCCCAAGAGATGTTTATGAGGGGACTGTTGCCAAACTCAAGATCCATTAAACTGCTGAATCATTACATTCTCTGTTGCAGCCAGCTGGCAAGGATTTTATTCTAAGCACTCACTGTCAGGTATCTTGGGTCAATGCACTCTCAAAAAGGCCTCCTTATGTTTATTTGTATAAGGCCTTGAAGGATGCCACAAGGTGCAAACCACAACATGTAAATATAGACAGATTTCCAGCAAGAGCGTCTGCAGTTTTTTTAATGTGAATCTTTTGCTAGTGATGAGCTGCATAGTTGAGGTCTTTTCAAGCCCTGTTGGGGCAGTCTGACTTTCAGTAGAGGAGATTAGTTTGTTATTCTAGCCACCCAGACAAATGTTAAGAAATGCCTTTTTAAGGACTTTGGGAATTAGGCCAGTATTTTCTTTTGTTCTGTCTTGTACATTGATCAGATGGTTCTCATGCTCCTGCACTGATGCGTCCTTAATATATATACCCTGAAGAAAGGATCATTTTGGCACTTACTTGGACTGACACTTCTTTTTAATATATGAAAGCAGGTTTTTTTGGAGGCAGTGTTTTTCCTTTCTTTTCACCAGTGAAGTTTTATTCCAGTTTCATTGCATTCCTGTTAATTACAGTAAAGATTGCTTAATTGGATATATTTGCAATTTTGATTTGCAGGTTTGTTTTTTTTTGGGGGGGGGGGGGGGTTAGTGTGTGAGGAGTGTTAAAGTATACTTTCCATAAAGTTTTCCCCTCTTTCCTGTCCTTTATTTTTACAGGTTATGGGACAAAACTTTGATAGGAGAAATGCTTATATTTTCATTGTACTGTTTCTCTCAGCCGTAAACTTATAATTCAGGAGATGCTTGTGCTGTTCTTAATGTTTTCCCAAAACGACTTCTGCCTTCATTAGATCATGTTTAATATTAATGCACAGCAATTGCTTTTGGCAAAACTAATGCTTCGCTTCCAAACTGCTTTGCAAAAAAATAATAAAATGCACATTTTTAAGAGCCTTAGCCTATTTTCTAGTGACCTCTTCAGAAAAAAAAAATGTAGTGAAGTGTGATGTACACAAGAAATAATATTGAATCTTGTATTGCCTATTATATTTTTTTTCTCTGCTTGTAAGCAGAGAGCAGCCACCATTATGCTTTCAGAAGCCCTAGAGGAGTTGCACCAACACTCAGTAAAATCTGCAGGAGATTTCTGAGACTGTGTATTGCTTTTACAGCAGGTATTTTTAAGATAGCACATGACTAAATGGACTACGACCTCTGGTCAAGCAAAAATAACTTAAGTGACCTCTTTTTCTAAACTACCTGGAATCTTAACCCTCACAGGAATGCTGAGGCTCCCTGGAGTAGAAGAGGTGTGCCGTTCTCCCCTGGTGATGAGGAGAGTATTGAAGACTGATCATAGCATTAAAGGACAAGTAAATGTTGATCTTGGGGCTTGCTGACACCCTAGTAATTTGAGAATGATCCTTTTCTGGCTTTCATCCCAGTAGAAAAGTTGTCAGTTGCAAGCACTACAATTTTGGTGTGACTAGTGACAAAACAAGAGCCTTTTAGAAACCTTTCTAAGGTGTCTGCCTATTGTGAATGAAGGTTACATCATGTTGACTTCCAAACTGGTGAGTGTGGGTGGATATACAACTCACACCTCTTGTTCTTCTGCATTTTCCTGTATGTTTGTATTGGTCTTACCCAAATAATCATTCCCTGGAGCACACACAACTGTGGTAATAATTTCATACATTGTGTACCTGAGGAGCTTCTGTGCAGATGGACAGAATGCCTAAGTCATTCTTATACTACTGGGGGGCTTTACAGGATATTCTGCAGCCTTGCTCCAGTACGTGATGAATTTGAGCACATGTTGTAGATACAGCACTTTTTCTGGAGTCTCCATTTCCTTTGTGCGTGCATGAGTAATTTCCCTCACTGTTTCTAGAGGAAGGAAAAAAAGCAGAAAGTTGCTGTTGCTAAAATACTTTATGCAGCCTGGTCCCTGAGCTGTCATTTATCCAGATGTACCTCTGTGCTGACTGAAACCGTGTTGTGGGGTGTCTCAATCATTCTGGTCACCACTCTTTCCTAGAAAAGTGGAAACTTGGGAATGTATCTCAAGAGTATATATGTAGCACAAGCACTATTATCTGCTATTGAGTTGAACAACAGAGGGATAGTTTTAGATGAATTATTGTGGATGCTGCCGGTTGAGAAGCTTTTTTCTTGTTAGAGGGACTGAAAACCAGGCCTTGATAATGGGTATAGATATCTGGATACTTTATGTTTCAGTTTTTTGCCTGTAGAAGTCTGAAATCTGCTGGTTATGTTGGGTACCTAGATTTAGAAATATCAATCGGGATCAGTATATGTGATTTTCATGCAGTCTGTATTTATTTTTTAATACTATCTAACAGTGCAGGAGCATTGTCTTAAGGTGATTGAAAGACTGACATAAAGAGCTGCTGTGAATTAAAAGAAAATTGACAGTTACAATATCTGTTATAGAGACAAAGAATAGAACTTCATGTATTTGTGTTTAACTCCAGAGATTAGTATGAGGAGCATCTTTTGACTTGTTAAGCATTATTTATTGTTTAATCCACACAGGATTTGTTTAATAAGGGTATGTTTACCTAGCATGGCACAATTATTTTTTGTTGCAAGTGGTTTGTGAATTTTGAAGAAATGCTTCTTGTTATTTCATATGATATTGTAGGAGAAAAGGAAAATGAATATATAGTAGATGTTTGGATCCTAGCTCATCTGGTAAGATTGAGGGTGGCTGTGTCAAGGTTTTTCATTTACACTTTTTTGCTCTGTGCTGAAGCCTACACACTTTGTTTTGCAGTAACTGTCTTACACACTTACTGTACTTCGTTGCTCATTGACCCAGCATGGTGCAATGAAATCATACACTAGTTTGAAATTCTTGTGCACCGTAAAGTAGTAAATTATTTCAAGGCTGAACTATAAGATTTTATTATCCCAAATTTACTGTGAGTGATTGGAAGCAAACACTGTCTTTAGGTATTTTGATAAATGGGATCTCAGTCTCCAGGGAATGAAAGGGGTGACTTAGTGTGCAGCACACAGTTGTCTGAAAATACATGACTCACTTCTGTATTGTAGGACAGTTCCAATCACTCTGAAGTTGTTTACTGGATGATGTTTCTCTTAAATTTTAAAATTTTGATTGTCTGAATTGGTGTTTTTTTGGTGTGTCCATTGACAAGAGTTATCCAGAGTTAGTTACATCACAATGACAAATGACTTTAAGATGACTCAGTTCAAACACCACTGCCATGAATGGGGATACCTTTCTCTAGGTATGCTCTGAGCAGCCTGGTCTAGCCTGGCCTTGAGCACTTCCAGGGATGGGGCATCCCCATATTCTCTGGGCAGCCCGTTCTGCAGACTCACCATCCTCACAGTAAAGTATTTATTCCTTTTGTCCTCCGTATGAGCTCCAATGTAGGAGTTCAATGACGCATCTGTGGAAGGGTGGTTGACAATGTGGATTTGTGTTTCAAAACACAGCAGCGCTTGGTCTAATGCCTGGAGAGAGGAGGACACAGGCTGGTGTGCCGTTGGCTGCTGCTGGCCGTGCCGCACAGCCGCGTTCGTGTACAAGCATGCTGCACACTGTGGCTACACTGCCACCAGCCAGTTACCTGTAGCAGAGGCACTGAAGAGGCAGCCAGTTCTGATTTAGGGGTTTCATGTTAGGAAGATGTTTCTATGTGAAACTCTCAGTGAACTCTCAGTGGAAACAACCGCCAAGAAGTAACCTCCAAGAAGCAATACAGTAAATCTTCTTGTTTCTGTTGTACCTCTTTGATATCTACAGGAGACATTGATTTTTTGTCTATCAATGTTTCAGGGAGTATTCTCTTCAAGTGCATGTCTTTGGAAGCTGACAGAATGACAGAACACCAGGAGAAAATACTGTCAGTTTTGGAGGAAAGGTTTCCAGATCTTCCCCCGCGAGAGGAAATTATCTCTGCTCTCCAGGAGACTCAGTTTAACACCCAAGGTAGTGCAACTTCCTTCCATTTTTCAGACATGTTACAAATTTATTTGTGTAATTGTATCAGAACTCTGTTTTATTATGTGTGGTGAAAATAGGTGCAGCATGCTGTCTTCATTGACAGTTAAAAGTTGTATATTAATTTTAAATTAAGCTCCTTACATTCTAAATCATGGAATTGGGATTTTTTTTTGAGGAACTACTTAGCTCATAAATAATCTTGTATTGTTTTTACAGATAAAGTTAACAATTTGTTTTACATATTGCTTTTACAAGTGTATTTTCATCAAGAATTTATGATTCTTGATTCACGATTCACATGGTCATAAAAAATGTGTCAGTCCATGGGAAGAAATTGTATTGCAATTGCCCATGTTGTGTAGAAGTAGATTTTGTGTTATGACCCAGATTTACTAAGGGCTGTGTACATGTGAAGTCAATTTGACATCAGACTCAGATTAAGGAAGCAGCGGGAAAGTTGCAATTCTTTTCCTTTCTTCTGATTGAAATACTGAGTAGAAGTATTCAGTGATCTAAAGTCGCAGTGTTTGAACCCAAAATTTAGTAGCAGGCTTTTGAAGAGATGCTGTGAAAGCTTGAAAAAAATGGTTGCAATAACTCTTACAATTTTTACTGGCGTTGGCTGCCAAGCTCTTACCAAAGAGTGAGTATCAAATTCCTAGGGGTATTTTCTTTTGGATGTATCAGGTAAGCACAGGGTCCATGCAGACTCAAGCTCTTTATTTGTTCTCTGTCTGCCCATATGCAGAAAGTAGTCATTGAAGTTCAGACCATCAGCCTGAGACAGCTGCCCTGTCTGGTAGATAAGGGCAGAATTGAGGTGCTGCTTCCTTTGCCTTTTCTTTCAGTGAGATTACAGGGTAATTTAGTTCAGGTGTATAAAGCTTCACATGAATTCTCTTAAGTTCCTTTACTCAATCAGTAGAATTCAGGAATGAACTGTATGCAGTCTAGATTGGAAAGTAGTGGTGAAAGTAGCTTTTATGGAAGTCAGTTCTTAGTTCTGCCACTTGCCAGGGAAAACAGTTTAGTACTGTTTGTCATTATGTTTTCTGTAATATCAAATGCAAAACTTGGACAAGTATATGTAGTGGGTGTAGTCTGCATGGTACTGGTTGCCAGTAATTTATGTATGTCACATGAGGCATGGGGAGGGCACTATCATGCACTCTTCTTTTTTTTTTTTGGCTTATAACTCCTGTTTTCTGTGTATTACAAGGCACATATTTACTGTATATTCACATACAAAAATTGCATGTGGCATTTCTTTTAGTAGAATGCTGCTGAGTTTCAGGAGCCCCTTGAAGGATGTAACCTCTACTGAGTATTTTACCTAATATACTCATTATTTGAGGCAATATTAGGACAATGCAGCCAAAATATTTCTCAGTTTCTGGCAGAAATCATGATTTATTGGCCTGAATTAATTTAAGGCACAATAGGTTGCAGCCCCCCAGAAAGTTTGTAGGTTATATAAAAATTTTTTTAAATGATAGATGCGTAAATGTTCATCTTGTCATTAGATTGGCTGCAGTAGCTGGACTCTATACAGGAACAGTAATGAAAGGATTAATTTCTTTGACTCAGATTGGTTTGACTCAGATTGGTTTCCCTCTTGAAAATAATTTGTACAAACACGTGGTGGATGTTAAACTGCTGTGCCTTGAAGGTTGGTAGGCGTTTCAGTTGTTGCCCTGCACTGACATAGGTGGCTTGCAGCATTCTTTACGTAGGCATTCGGCTGTCATGTCTGTGTTGCAATAATGTGATGTAGTTATGTTCCTCTACATAATATGCATTTATTTTGAGAATCTTTGTCGCATTTTAGGCAAACACATCCAATGAGGGAAACTTAGTCACTTGGATTTTCAATATATTGGGCTTAAACATACCAATATGTCTGGTTGCAATTCCTGTTTTACACCATTACTTCTCATGATAATGTTTCTATGGTACATAAACATATACTTAGTTCATGAATGATTTGAAGGAAATCAGAAAAACCCATTGGTGTTATCAATTCATGAAGAAGGTCAGAAAGGTTGAATGTCTGTGTTTACAGAATATCTTAAGTTCCTTGCTTTTGAATATTTCATAAACACCATCATAGTCCACAGGTGCTTTACAATATATTAATTATTTCAGAAGTAGTTTGATATTTGTGATTTCATATTAGGCCATAGAAATTGCCTAGCTATACATTTATCATCAGCTGGAATTAGGTTCACTTAAAAACTTCAGTGTTCACACAAGAACACAGGTGTTGCAGTAGACTTAATTTTTCATACTTGTTGTTAGTGTGTATCCTCCATTAAATCTCTTCCTTTCTTAAAAAAATCCCTCTAGAAACATTAAGCATTGAAATATTAATTTTACCTTTGATTTTCTCATATGACATCCTGAAATACAGAAAGAAGGTTCAGGATTAAGGTCTAAGCTGTGTTTTTAATTTATGCATCTGTCAGCTGTAGATAATTGTATATATGGAAATATGTCTATTCTCTTAAACAGGTGTGAACATTGAGGAGCTTATGCTCAAGGATCTCAAGGAGATTTCAGATGGAGAAATCAAAGTAGCGATTAGCACTGTGTACATGACACTGGAGGTAAGAGGAACTTGAAATATGTTTAACAGCCTTATTGCACATGGAGATAGTTCTTTAAAACAGAATGTGAACAAGTTATTTTCCCAATATTTTTTCCAGTATGAGCAGAATTTTTAGTGATTTAGTTAACTTTGAGAGAACTATTGGCTATTTGTTATGTGACTTCCATTATTATGATATTATAATTATTCCCTCCCTTTAGATTGTACTATGGTGTGTTAAAAACAATGGCATAAACAATTTGGAACCTTTGGGTGAATTGAAGGTGTGAGCTTTCTACCTTGATCTGAAGAGAGTTACGTATTGCTGAATTTTATTTTAAAATATTATTTTAAGAATAAGAATGCTTAGATCACTAAACAATGACATGATTCTGTTATGACATGGTACTGTTATATTTGATTGAAGTTTGCATACTGGCATATTAATTAGTATAAAACCTAAGTGATCTGAAGAAAATATCAATAGCAAAAACATCTTTATATAGTATATGTTTGTAATTTTCAGTCTCTTCATTTTCATGAAAGTCATGTATACAGAAGTATTTGAAATGTAGAAGAAATTTCATCTACTTTTGCACTAAATCAAAACTTGTTTTTAATATGAAATACTGCAAAAAAAAAATCTCTTGAATAGTTCTTGCGTTGTATGTCATAAGAGATTTCTTATAGTATATGTCTTGTGATGCATTTTACAAAAAATAAGATGCTTCTGTGGTTGAACAAGTTTTGGTTACAATCCAGCTAATAATTACCCATAGATTTCTGCTTGCATACTGAAATATAGAAAGCAAATTAGGTTGCAAAGCTTCAAGAAATGAAGTAGAATCTGTTAGTTTTCAATTAGTTGTTCCAATATTAAGCAATCTTTGCCACCAAAACAACACTGCTTATGAACCATAATTTGATCCTAAAAATTAGGCTGAGGCTGGGTGGAAAGGGGATGGGGAAAGAGTGTTGTAAGATAAATCCCCAAAAGAGAAAATAGGATCTTATAAAGTTCTTAATAAAACCCTCATCTTTTGTTTTACATCTTTCTCCTTTACTCAGTCAGTTTCAGTTAACAGTGGATGGAGCTAGGAGCTAGCTTTAGCATTACATTATCTTTTTGTTTATTTTACATTAAATCATGTTGGATAACTATGTAGAATACAGACCTTGTGCTCCACAGGTTTAAGCTCCAGGCGAATCTGGTCTGACCTCTTCTTTGCAACTCTATATGCTCAAATTATTGTAACTCAGATCTTGTCTTCCTTTTGTTTGGATCTCACAATTTGGCTTTGTCAAGAGTAGGTGTTTCTAGTTCTCAGAGTAGGCAAATTTTCAGCCTTTTTTCAGTGAAGTGTAACATCTGATGCTGACTTACCTGGGCAAAGAAGTGTTAAGATCTGGTGGTCAAGCAGTAAATGCTTCATAGTTGTTTTTCTTACATAGCTAGGAGAGCAGAGGAAATTCATTTGCCTGTAAGAACAAACTGGACAGATTTTACTGATAGATGATTTTTTGTCTCAGTCTGTGAAGTAATTTTATTACTAGTATTTCTGGTGGGATTTCTTTCTGGAAGTCACAGGTACCTTCCTTTGCTTTTTGCTCTGTTGTTGTGTTGTGAATAGTTTGTGCCATAGAGGACTAAGTTTTCAGGAGTGCAACTACTTTTTTCTTCCTAGGTATAATGTTTGTAAAGTTATTGGGATGGAGATTTGTTTTGCATTTGCTACATTACTGCTCTTTGTTGAAATGAAAACACCGTAATTTTTGGTGCTTGGCCAGTAAAAGATGATTTTTTTACTTGGTTTTGTTAGCAATAGGGATCACATATAGTTACTTCATCCAGTGTCAGAAGCACAGTACATACAAGAACATGAATGACAAAACCATCCAGATCTTTCTGTTCAGTTCAGAATTCTGTTATGAGCTCAGAATACACAGACTTTAACGTATTCACAATTTTCTCGGCAATGATAGTGGTAGTTTGTTGTTCATTCTTAAAGTGCTCCAGATGTTACCTGATTAAATATTAAGGAAACATGAAGCGCAGGCTTGGCAACAGGTGTTGAATCTCTGGTGTGTTTGTGGTTTTGCTTTTTCAGAAGTATCTCAAGTCATTTTTTTTTCCTTAATAATCAACAAATATGCAAGAGTATCTTCCATTAAAATGCTTTCTGTAGGGCAGTCATTTTGTGTAAATGTGTTTAGGTTTCTCTAATGTGTTTAGGTTTCTCTAAAGATGATTATCTCAACAAATGCAGCTTTGCATTTGTTGAGGTAATCACCTTTGGATCTGACTCTCCTGGAGTGGTATTGAAGTTGAAATCAGACCTGTGTCAACAGCGACTGGATCTCAGAATGTATGCTGCTTGAATTTTACATATGTAACCACTTTATTTTTGAAGAGAAGGATGAAATAAAAGTGACACTGCCCAGATCACAGTTATTTTTGTAGCCTTTGCTGGAAAGTTTCTCCCAGTCACAATTATGATTACTTGTAAGATATTGTAGCAAAATTCAGTGCATGTGTTACAGTTAATTTCTGTTACATTTTGTTATACCCTTAGAATATCTTTTGCTGCTTCTCTGCTGGAATTCTCTTGGAAATGAGATTTGTCTTCTCAATGTGGCTTTCTGGGAAAGTAACATTGCTCCTGGGAAATAAATATTTCTGTTGTAAAGACAGCTCTGTTCTCTGCTTTTTTAAGTGTAGTGCACTGGGAGAATGATCCAGGTCTCATGAATGTTCAGTTCGGTTGAAATGGCTCATTATAACATAGATTAATGATATGCTTGTTGGACTAAGTCTTTTTCTCTTCTTCATGAAAATTCATTCTAACTGCTCACAGAACTTGTGATTATAGAAAATGAATTACCACCTGAGGAAGCAGGTCACTCAGTTGAAAACAAGTTCTGTGATTGTCTGCTACTGACTGTGGCAGACAAGGGGGTGTTGTGAAGGTCTGTTGAGGTTCATGCCTCTGGCCATGGCATCCACATACTTCATAAAGACAGTTTCCAGGTAGTAGGGGTTGTATGCCACTTGTAAAAGCTTAGAGAACATGTCAGAGCTGCACTGAAGGCTGCTGTCACCAATGTTGTTACCTCAAGAAAATGACCTGCACGTTCATACTGCTGTGGAAAGCTTGACTGTCCTTAAGTAGCCTCCATAGTCCAAATGAGTTTGGGATAGTACCAATAGGAAGTTCTATCTCTTGTAACAACTTCCCCTGTTGTGGCTTTATGTCTCAGAGGAACTTACAGTAGCAGTTCCAGCAACAGAAATTTAAGAAATGTAGAAGTGTTTGGTGCACGGTGTATCATCTTCCTATGAAAAAATAGTCGTATCTTGGAGAAAGATTTTAATTTTAAAGCTATTTTGTAGTATTAGTAAGAAATGCCACTGTTTCATAATTTGGACAGTTTTATTTCTGCGTTTTGAAAAGTGATGTTTTTAATATTTCTGTAAAGCAAATCAAGGACCTCTGTCTTAGCTGAAGCATGTCGAACAAGTGCTAGGTGGACCATTACACCTGAATAAGTGATATTACAATATATGTCTTTGAAGATTTGAACTTCTGTTGTCTGTCTATAATGATTATGTATATATATTGTGTACTTGGGAACTTTTTTTCTCTTGGTATAAATATAAACATATTTTAAATGGCAGATTGGTCCATGAATTTGTTTTTAATGCAAAAGACAAAACAAGAAGCAAACCCCAAGTAAACATGTTAACATTTAATCTTCCAGTAATGGAATTGGAAACAAAATTCTCAGCAACTTACAATAGCAATGCGGTTCAAAAGTATTTTTCTGATGCCTGTTGTGAGAAGTTAGGGTATGTAAAATAAATGATGTATAGAGCTGTAGGAACGCGACTTTTGCAGACTACCTTATGTCTAAGGAACATTAAACATAGGGTTCTCGTTTAGCAAATAAATAACCATTCATTTCAATGGCTGCATAGTCTGGACTTTTGTGCATATTTTTGTAAAGATGAGAAGAGGCCATTAGGGATTTAATATAAAATAAATCGCCACGGGGTCTTCTTGTAGTCCTAGTCTTTCTGCCACATGGTGTGTCACTAATGTGCATAAATGGGCTTAAATGAATTTGTTATCTGTATTACATTTGCAGTATGTATATATTTATATATTATTTTTTAATTGTTTTTAAAAATAAAACATTAAATACATCATTTCTGAGAGTTGAAAACATACATTTGTAAATAAATCAACCTTAATTAAGGTCTTAAAATGTCAGTGTGTGATATCTGCCTTAGGAAAATTTATAACATATAAGTACATAAAGCTTAAACATACTTTCACTTGCTTTTTCAGAAATTCTAAGAGGCTAAAGTCATAACCTCATATAACTGAGTAATGCAGCCACACGTGCATTAATGTAAATACCACACTCATGCTTAAACATCAGACTGCCGTCTTCTGGCGGACAATGGCTGTCCAGTTGATGCCTCAGGTCATCCAAAGTACCCCAGTTGTGACGAGTACAAGCTCGTACAACTGGGGTACGAGTGGAGAGGTTAGGCAAGCTGAATTCTCTATAGTGACTTCTCTAAAGATATGAAAAGAATGTGGTAGGGAGAACCGTTTAAGTGGTAGTTTTGAGTGGTTGCTGTTGCAGCCAACTGGGAAATAAACCAGGCCAGACTGAGCAGTGACAGCTGTTCCTTAGCTGCCTCGCAAGGTAAGAACGAGACCTGGCACTTCATGTGCATTTATACAAATGTGCAGAGCCAGGAGAATAAACACTAGGAACTCGACACCCAGTCCAAAAGTTAGGGTATCACAGGAGTAACTAAAACATGATGGGACAACTCCCATGACGGGAGGAATATGACGGATGGCTATAGGCTGTTTTGTAAAGAGAGTCAGGGAAGAAGAGGAGGGGGACTGGCACTTTAAGTTAAGGAGAACCTCAGATGTACAGAAATCAGCTACAGTGACCATAGGAAGCCCTATCAAATGCCTCTGGGTCAAGGTTAAAAAG